AACTTTATCACTTTCCACATAAATTCTAAGAACTTCTGGCCATGTCATGACATCTAATAAGAACAATGTAATGTTTACACTGTCTTTGTGATCTAAAGGTCCAAAATGAGTCTGTTGAGCGTCTTCTTCACGTAGCAATGCTTTAAGTAGCATCATATGTACTTCAATCAGCAAGTTACTTTGATCTTCACAGCTTATAGCAGCACAAAGATCTTCTAAGCGAAAAGGAGACAGTCTTACTAAGTGTCTGAAATGTCGCAAAACTTCATATACACTTACAACTTGAAAGACTAAATTTTGGGGTATAATTAGATCATCTGATGAAGGTGGTAAATCTAAGGGTGGAATTTGTCTTCCTTGTTGCAACCACAATGGATCAGGACTGGGAGGTCTGTTTGTTATAGTATTAGTTTTTCGCGGTGTTCCACTCGTTGTACTAAAGCTGCTCACAGAAAAATCACTATCGGTCGCCGCACCATCTTCGCTTCCTTCTGAACTTTCACTACCGCGCTCTTCTTCGAGCTCGGATTTGTCACTATACTCATCACCAAAGTCAGAACCGTAATGATATTCAGATTCATGGTAATCGGCTGCCTGTGGATTATAACCCCGTTTCGAGTAAGAATTGGATATTCCGCCTCTTTTACTTTTATGTGTTTTACGATCTTTTCGCTTTCTCGTACTTCTTCTACTAATATCACTACCTTGAGGTGAAGAAGCTCTAGACGCCGACGGAGTGTTTATCATAGAAGTGTTCACAGCATTTTGTTGCAAATATTTTGGTTTTTTCAATAAATGAAATTGGAATTTTCTATTTTTTTCAAAACTACTAGATTTTGGGGGCCTCCCGCGTTTTTTTGCCCCCCTTCCTGACATAATTGAGCTGTCAATTGTACACTTTCCAGCACGTGCACCGTGAAAACATAGTTTTGTTTACAAAAACACAATCACGGTAATAATGCATTTCAGTTTATCCAAAGCCCAACGTTGTCATGTTCGGAGGCGTTTATGATGCTTCATGAAATGTATCACTATATGTCCGTAATTGGTTACTGTTTACAAAGTTTTTCACAATAAAATGAAATGTCAACTCATTCACTTAATGAAAATCAATTAGAGATGTACAAATTTGCCCAACACATCGAAAACGCAATGACGCGAGGGCTAGAACTAGTACATGCAATTCTAAAACGCTAAATACCGACTTCCTATTGGTCGATTAACGAGACGCCATATCGTTTTCGTAATTTGTTGTAAAATGAAATTCTTGACATCTCCTAACATATAAGATAATGATTTAGACACCGATTAAACTTTAATTACTTGTAAGTCAATAAAAATCTACTTTCATTCATACAAATAATACTCGCTAATAACAGCAACTTCAAAATATAACTAAATCACTTGGTACGCGGCCATTTTCTACTTCCACGGAACAATCACTAATGTGTCTTATTATATTTTTTAATATTCAATCACCATATTTCTATGAAAGTACAATTTTTGTTAAAATTTAATTATTTATGGTAGTTATTAATATTCATAATTTCTTTTCAAACAGACGTGTTAGACGCGTAAAGAATAATTTAGCCGGAAGTTTCATGTAGTTTGTCTATGATAAACATTGATTTTCATTATACCAACATTACGAATGCTTTACTTCAGGATTCTAGGCATGTCAAGCATAGCTTGTAGGACGTAATGTATACGTAATAACACAATACATAAATATAATAATAAAATGTCAGAATTCGACCAAAAATCAAACAGAAACTTAGTTTAAGTTTGAGAAACAATTCCATTCGTTGCTGATGCCAGATTCACTTTAACCCTAGGGGCTTAAAAGGGTTTCCACATAAGATGCCACAAGAAGAATTCGACATTTTAGTAAAAAAAAAGTATAGTAAAGAAGGATATGTCATTGTATTATTTTAATGTGTCGATCTGTTTTAAATAATAAAATAGGTTGCTTGGATTTTGAATCAAACGAAAAAACAATTACTGTTTACTTATTTGAATATTTCTGAGACAGCGTATTGACTTTGTCGTGCAAATCAACCGACTTGTATTTGCATGCCTGGTAGTAGTGTGTAACGTTCGATCCCTATGATGCACAATATAGGTATGCCAGAATAGGGATCTGATGTGACCCCCATATATCAAATGTNAAAATAGGTTGCTTGGATTTTGAATCAAACGAAAAAACAATTACTGTTTACTTATTTGAATATTTCTGAGACAGCGTATTGACTTTGTCGTGCAAATCAACCGACTTGTATTTGCATGCCTGGTAGTAGTGTGTAACGTTCGATCCCTATGATGCACAATATAGGTATGCCAGAATAGGGATCTGATGTGACCCCCATAGATCAAATGTTGGGTCTTCTTCGTGTGCCGATTTTGGGAGTAGTGAGGAGACTAAAGTCACGTCTTGCGAAAAACCATCTAGACGATGAAAGGCCATACTCCCCGATTCTGTTCTGACCCATTGGGATATCCAGTGGAATGCATGTAACGCCATATAGAAGGGCTTCAACACCCCGATCCAGAGTTGTAGGCCGACACCGTATAAAATAGTCAAATTAAATGCATAACCATATTTATGAAGCAATAACTACCTATTTTTCCTATATTTTAGACTAAGAATTTTACAGTTTTACGGTTTACATACAAATTGTCAATTTCGGAATATAGTTGGTATTGTTTTGAGTTGTCCATTGATCTATGGATAAATAAAGGAAACGTAGATCATAGCTATAGTGACCATTAATTTGTATCAAAAAATAGGGCAAAAGCAAACAAATCCTATTATTACCTATAAATAAATAAAATATAAATACGTTTATAAACACAAGATCGGTTATTACAAAACAATGGTCCTATAATAGGTCCATATTCAGCCCGAACTGAGCGCTGCTTGAACTATAATACATTAATACACTTATTCATTAGCGAGCGATGTTTACACTAGTCGACTAGTCTACTCTATCGGCAAAACAGGTTGTGTTTTAGACTAAAGCTTGGTCCAAAGGTAATGAACACATAATTTTTTTCTAGACTATTATTTGCGAATTATTATACATTTATAAATAATAATAATTCATTCAAAAATTTAGTTTCAGTATTATTTTAAATTCATTGAAAACGGTACAAATAAATAAAAACTAGGACATTTAAGCTTATCAATAAAAAAGGACAGCGCCTTAAAAACAGTACTGCCCTGTCAAAAACAGTACGAATGGTCACCGTACGCATAGGCCATAATTGTTTTAAGTAGACTAAAATCTTCATATTGATCGGAGACTGAAATATATATTTTTTAATTGTTAACTTTTTTTTTTATTAACTTTTACGCCACTTCTTTTTTTTTTGTTTAGATGGCAGGACGAGCTCACGGCCCACCTGGTGTTAAGTGGTTACTGGAGCCCATGGACATCTGCAACGTAAATGCGCCACCCACCTTGAGATATAAGTTCTAAGATCTCAGTATAGTTACAACGGCTGCCCTACCCTTCAAACCGAAACGCATTACTGCTTCACGACAGAAATAGGCAGGGCGGTGGTACCTACCCGCGCGGACTCACAAGAGGTCCTACCACCAGTAAATAAACTGGTCCCGTGCTACTTTCGTAAAGAACTTATGTGTTACAGGAATAAGAACGTAAATTAAATGAAATGGAATGCAATTGTGTCGTTAGATGAGATGAAATCAAACAACCATTATTAAATAAAAACAACGAACTGAATTTATTATGATATAAATAGATTTTTCAAAGAAGCCATTCACAACGATTTACAACGTTAAAGAACGATAATAGAACGAATCAACGATAATAGAATTAATACCCAACAAAAAGTTCATTCAAAACGAAATAGGGATTACGAATCTTCTCGGATTAAAATCTATCTTGAAATCGATTCTGTAGGAAGATTGATTTGTTAGAAATAGACATTTTTTCTTCTCGTTCGAACTTTATTCTACATTTTAAATGAAAACATACGACACAAAAGACACTAGATTCCAATATAATATAATAATTTTATGGAAAAGAAAGAGAATACGCATTGCTAATGTATCAATCAATTAATAGTTTTTACCTTTTTACTGTGCTTATAATACTTTTCCATATTTCTTATTTTCTGATTGTATAGTCTCAATATATGTAGGATGTTTTCCATTTTGTTCTATTTAATGAAGTAACATATACACAATAGCAAACGGCTCACCTGAAGTTTAGTGGTTATCCACTGAAAGTCATAGATATTAAAACGTAAAGGCCACAACATACTTTTAGACATGAAGTCCAATGTTTCTATTCTAATATTGTCTCCTATCCTGCCTTTGAAACAAGCATTAGTGCCTATCATTTGGCATAAGTAAATCCGTTATCCCGCACGCATTGGAGCTCGACTTCGACTAATTATATAAATAAAATGCACGTGTGTTTGTGTCATTAGTGTGTTTGCATGTGTTTCAGTCAGCTGACATCTCGCGATGCTTTTTGAGTTCGGAGAACCTACTCGATTAGGCTAGCCACACTATGTGTTTGCTGCGTTTTCGTATAACTTCTGACTTACGAATAGAAATCAATACGAAGTTATTAGGATTTCCCAAAAAAAAAAAATTACATTAATTAGATTTGGTAACTTAGACTTTCATGTGCTGAACTTGGTTTAGGGATATAAATCTTCGAGTGGTAAAAGTGTTTCAAACTGTCACTTTCATGACCTCGTCCTAGAAGATACAGATGAAGACGTCACGTCTCAAAGACGGCTTAATGAAACCGATATTATAGGGACGGAGAAAAACGTATTCAGTGTGCGCACTGAATTCGTTTGTCCAGTATTCTTATGTTTACTTACGATTTATTCGCAACATTTCCTTGTAAGAAATCTGATCTTTGAAAAAATCGATCCTAGATCGCCATCCCTAACGTGAGCCTTATTGATCATAGATAATAAATTTAATTTAAATCTGTCTAATTTTAATCATTTATCAGGATTTGATGTGTCAGAAGCCCATCAATACGAAAAAAAAACCGAATAGCAACGTGGGTAAGGTTGGTAAATAATGATGTATGTTATGAAGAGGATCGTTGACCACGATGATAAAATAGAGTTGCCGAAATGTATGTACCACATTAAAAATCCGATCGATCTTACAGAAGAAGATGAAATTTGTTTGAAAATCAATGAAAAGGTTCTCAAATTTATTAAGGTTTATATCAATTGTATTTCTCAAAAATTAACATATAAACCATAATTTTTTCACTTTTCTACTAGGTACATAAAATTTTTAGTATTTGAAATTTTCGTCAACATGGCCTATGACCATATTATTAAGCCCTGGCCTATACAACATTAACTGCTCCATTTTCTTGTCACACCCTAGTGAGGTCTGAGTTATTAATTAACCAAATCATACTGGTGTTATGTTATCGCATTACTCTTTCGTTACTTTCCAAAATTACAAAATCATTTAGGTATCTTTTACTTCAACTACGCTATATCAGAATGTCCGTAAATTCCATAAATTTCCTTAGAGAACATAAGAAAAGTATTTAAATTGAAAACAAAACTATCCAAAAGGCCTGCCTGCCTTGTTTAGACAAACTAATGCACTGTGAACAAATAATGATAATTTATATTAATTGTGTTACATTTGTATAGAATTCTTATAAGTGCCTAGTTTGAATTTTTTTTTATTGCCCTTGTAGGCAGATGAGCATACGGCTCACCTGATGGTGAGTGGTTACCATTGCCCATGGACTTCAGCAATGCCAGGAGCAGAGCCAAGCCGCTGCCTACTGAAAGTCTGTTAATCAGGTAAGAGATCTTAGTTGTCCAGTCTCTGTTATCAGTATTTTCATATATATTCTGTATTAGATACGAGCCCACCCAAATGGACACTATCATATTGCTTAATTGTATTTTATATTAATTGTATTTTGAAGCAATCATGTATTTTATTTGAAGGACTAGTAGATGTACAAAATCAATAAACACTTCATTTTGTGTCATGGTGAACAGTAGCATTTATCTTGTGTTTATGAACTATTTCTTCATATTAGATGAGTTTTTAGCTAATACATACATTTTAGGGTCCTAATAATAAGATGACTGAACTGGAGACAAGGCAAGATGAACTCTTGAACAAGCTAGAAATACTATACGAGCGGATAAAGACAATTAGCTCTCAATGTAAGCTTGACAATATGAGTGCTAATATTCAGTCCTCAAATGCCTCAAAAGTCGAATCTGTAAGTAATAACATTTTTATATTTTAAATTTGTTTCAACTAAAAACAGAACTGCAGGCGTCTAATGCAAGAGTTATTGCATCTGAAGGATCCGTAAGGACGTATCTAGGGCGTCAACAGTGACTGGCTTCGGCATGATCAGGATTTGGAGAGTAGTCAGTGGCAGCAGCAATGAGGCGATTGTCATGACGAGAAGATATGGTGTCTTATCATTTAAGCATGAAATTGCACAATGCCTGTTATCAAATTTGTATGTATTAAGTAACATTAAGATATAATGATTTAAATTTAGTTCTTAACTTAAAATTTCAATAGATGCATTGTGGCTTTGTTTGAGATCAAGAATTTTTTAGAAAATTCAAATTTATACTAAATATACATTTATTATGTATAAAATATGATATATTACTTTTATTAAAACATGAAAAAAAGGTATGATAACATTTGTTGTGCTTGTTTATTGTTTAAAGTATCATTTAAAGTAATTTTCTATACTACAAGATTTGGTAGAACTGATTTACAGAGAGAAATATTTATTAAAAGAAATTATGCTTTTTCTAGGTAATTACACCAGAGGAAGTTGTCTTGGTGCTGAGTCCTGATTCATTGNATATATTACTTTTATTAAAACATGAAAAAAAGGTATGATAACATTTGTTGTGCTTGTTTATTGTTTAAAGTATCATTTAAAGTAATTTTCTATACTACAAGATTTGGTAGAACTGATTTACAGAGAGAAATATTTATTAAAAGAAATTATGCTTTTTCTAGGTAATTACACCAGAGGAAGTTGTCTTGGTGCTGAGTCCTGATTCATTGCCTTGGTATTTGAATATCATTTTGAAAAAATCCAATATTCCAATACATACAACTTGTCATGTCCATTCATCAGTGCCAAGTGAGAAATTAGCAAAAATAAAGGCTTTTACTCAAAAACTTAAAACTTCTGAAAACCCTAAAGTAAACCTAAGGCTTATTTTTAAAGGTATGGCTTCTTACTTCGAGTTTAATAATGAAATTTGTGATTGGCTTTATTTTAAAGTACTTCAGATTAATATCACACTCACAATATTAGCATTATTACTTTCTTTCTTTAATTTTAAGCCCCTCTAGGGGTTTAGGTAACTTGGTGCGGTAGTGGTGGCTCTGCAATTTTTCAAATAGCTGAGAGCCTGAGATTTATTTATTTATGTAAGAACTCTTCTAAGTTTCATATAAATCCAGCAGTGATTAAGTTGAGTTAAATCTAGATATACAGAGAATTCTATTATTAAGCATAGGTTAGCATTCCTTTATACATAATGCTTACTACAAAAATATGATTTCCAAATTTAACAAAAAAAAAAGCTATACTTAATAAAAAATAAAACCTAATTTAACAAAAAAGAAACTAAAGCTAAGTGCAATTTGTTTTTTTAAAGAAATTTCTCCTGGTTTAAAAATGTTTTCTTTTTCAGCTGCAGCAGATTCAGAACTGAAATTGTCAGCATTATCAACACCAATCTTAGGAAATGTCAACATCCTAAGATATCTGTCATTAGCCTACCCTACCATAATTCCTTATGACCATAATGATCACATAGTTGATAATCTATTAGACATTTGCCACGTTTTGGAGAGGACATCAGAAAAAAATAAAGAAGCAGTTGTAAATAGGCTTTTCGCTCACTATAAAACTTGGATTTATGGTGACAAATTTTCTGTGGTAGACTTGGCAGCATACAACTTAATTAAACAATGGAGAAATACACCTAAGTTTGTCTCTAAAGTGTGGTTTGATAGATGTGAGAAATTATGTTCTTAACTCTCACTGTTTTAATATGGATTGTTTTCATGTAATCAATAAATGAGCTTTGTTCTGATGTATTACTTTTTATTATACAAAACTGGTATTCGGCCATCAGTTGATGTTAAAGGTTCACTGTTCTCTTATAAACTTTATGCTTCTTTTCACCTATACTAACATTGATATATTTTAATACATCAATGTATACAAAGTTTAAAATTAGAATTGTGCAATATGGTGAGCATAATGGAAGACTAGTCAACGTCACTTATGGTCATCAGCAATGCCAGAGACAACCAGACTGCTGTCTGTAAAATGCTGCACATCTTGGTTGAGTAATAAGTACCTATCGTAGCAATTCGGATGTACAGAATAGTGTCCATTTCAGTTTTAACGTACCTAGTAGAAAAGCCGTTGTCACTATACAGATCTTAGAGCTCATATCTCAAGGTGGGTGGCGGCATTTAAGTTATAGATGTCTAAGGGCTCCGATGACCACTTAACATCAGGTGGGTTGTGAGCTCGTGCACCCATCTATACAATAAAAAAATCCCCAAATCGCGTCTTGCGAAGCTTTAAATAAAACTGGTGAACTCAACCTCGGTGATTGATTAACTGATGATAAATCTACCTCTTATAGACTTCTTCGTGTTGCTTTTAGGTAGCCTCAAGGGACTATTGTGGCTTCGAAACTGTTAGCGGGCGAGCTCACAGGGCTCAATCTACCAGCGTATCGTAATCTCCACCCACTGCCGGATCATTGGCAAGAAACTGGATGGGTTATATTTGTAGGTTAATTACAGATAGTGGAGATTGTTAGGACGACGATGTTTAGGCTGACGACGGCTGTGTCAGATATGTAATTTGAGTAGGCGGTCACGATAAGTGTTATCGTGTTGCGCAGCTTTCTCGAAGAAGCGTTCTAACCTTTTCTTCAGGTACTTATCGATTCTAATTCTAAATCATGAAGATCTACATACTTCACATACCATGATGTTCTAACGCCTGTCCGTGTAGCAGGATATCTTGTTCCAATTAAGACACCCAGTCTGCACACTTAACAGCTAATGGGGTGAGAAAAGTCAAAAACAATGTGTTAAATTATTCATTTTAATATTCGAAATAGTACTTATTATGAACACTAAAATAAGATTTTATCTAACTTTTATAATTTGTATACTTAAACGTTTAACATAGTCTTCAAATTAATGGCACCAGTGGCTTTAGTGACCTATTTAAATACTACTTGTTTTGATCATAATAAAATCTTAAATAACTAGAAATGAGAAACTAGATTCAAAGAGTGGTTTCTACCATAAAAGGTGTTAAAAATTTATGATGCTGAATAACAGCTCTCCTTACAGTTTCAAATGTAGAAAATTTTAAACGTGTGCTAGAGGTATAATGGATTTTTAAATTTAAAAAAGTGCTTTTACACCTTCCCTTAGAATCGATTTTCAAAAAAAAGCAATACTTATTTAATGTAAAATCACAGATGAATTTGTTACGAGATAATTGTGCCGAAGACAAAGTTCATCTTTAGCTGCTTAATAACATTAACAAACTTTATTTACTATCAGTCAAAACGGACTAAAATATCAGTTATAAATAGCTTTTGATGTTTTTTTATCTAACACATATTTCAAAGTATAAAAAGTAAATTTACAGTAAAATACAACTTAGGTACACTAGTCAAAGATAATAAAATTGTATTTTAAATCAAATATAACTTTTAACGTAGTAATGAGCGATGTTAATCATTTTATAGAATGATAATAATTTTAGAAAAAATCTAAGAAAATAGACTTTTAAAGGGATACTTCTTATTAAAATCTAATTAAAGCGATTACAAAACGTACGGCTAAATTATTATAACACTATACAAAAAAATATTAACATATAAAATTGTATCACACATTCAGTTTTCTGCAAACTTCAAATGTGGCTTTTATTTCCATGATTTCCGTTATAGTTACAGTTTTGATAGTTTTTCGTATAAATATATTAACATTGTCATTACTTTTTATAATTGAAGTCCCTTAGAACTTCGCAGCGAATCGATATCGAGTGACTGTGAAGAGTCAGCATTGGTGTTGCTGACTTAAAATAGGGTAGTGGTCAATTCACTTTTAGGTTAACTATTCTAGTCAAATGGTAATCGAGAGTCATCATTTTATCACATCAAATTAAGTGATGACTGAGAATCAACCCAATAGTGTATAATATAATGAAAGTACTATTCCAGAGCAGTTTTTATGCTATCAATATTGCTAAGATACTATTTATATGTACACACTATAACTAAAATAAGGAATGGGCAGTGAAATTTTTATTAAAATAAATAGTTTATCATAAAACAAGTCTATAATAATTGTTATAGACGTCTTATTTTTATTTTTGTTAACTAATTTACTAGCTGCCGTACCGGCATCGCATCCTTCGCCTGATTACATTAGAAAAAATGTGTTAATAAATGCTAAAGGTTGTAAGTGTTTGAGAAATGAATGGCTCATACAATTCAGGTTAACTTTTATAAAATGTGCAAGTGTATATATTAGCAGCCATTTAGTAAAGATTTTTCTAAAAACAACTTTGAGACTTCGCGAGATGTGTCATTGTTATTAGCTAGTGTGCAGTACCTAATTTCATTCTTGTTTTTCTTTATAAAATAAAAGTTTTTCATCACATGTACCAGTTCCTCCATTTAACTCTACAGATGGGGATTCAATCGAATTGATTCTGATCCGAATGTATGAAGATATGCAACTCGTTTACGCTAGGTAGGGCCTGGCAGATATTAAATTTTTTTTTTTTGGTCTGGAGGAAATCGCCGTACTCCCACCCTCCACTGGGGATGGCGGGCGGGGTATGTCGGAGTCGAACCGACTAAAACCTCCTGTCGCTCAACAACCCACGTCCGAGCCTCGCATGAGACAGAACTCATGAAAAGGCAAAGGGGGGAGTGAAGCGTTTAGTGCGGAGCACATCTCTCCCATCACCCTCCCCCTCCCTCGTCAGAGATACCATAGCCGTTTCTTCCTCTTTCAATTTACCTCAATTATTACATTACTTAAGAACGTAAAAAAAAAACGAGTGTGTGAATATGCATTCTGTAATGTAATTTACTAAGTCATAACGGCCGACTCATTTCAGATTTAAACTTGCTTAAATGTGAATGACGTCATGACCGACTTTAGTATTAAATTATTGATTTCTCGTATTGTTTCGATTCAATGTTATAACTTGTTTTAACTGTGTATAGATTACTAAATATAAATTTAGGCATTCTATTATGCAGATGCGTCAATATGGCTTATTCTCTAGGACTAAAAAGAGTTAAGGCGGATGAGGCTCACATGTGAACCGTTCGAGCAGGTGCGGCCGCTATGGGCGACTCCTCCTGTCATACAAACGAAGAGAAGCCAGGCAGCGGGGCACGCGACCGCGCCATGTTGTTCATCACGATCTGACCTCCGTTGAGGCTGACCACGGCGCTACCCTCGGGCTCGGAGTCCGTGTAGCTGGAGTAATTACGTACGGGTCGCTGTTTCTTCCAAGACTGTCGTAACGTATCGTTAACGTTGGCGTAATGATTCACGAAAGAATGTGGTTCAGACCTCACGCTTTCGTTTTCACTTTCCGAATTCTGAAAAATAAAAATAAGTGTCGGAACTTTGGAGCGTAAGATTTACTTGAATCGGTTAATAAAATAAAAGTAACCAGACTATGAGACGTAAGTCAGTAGTAAATAGTTAGAATTCAGTAGTAACTTGCCGGATGTGAGTTTACAAAGAAAAAATATGCATGAAAATGTTGACTGATAACTAACTAACTGAAAACCATAAATAAGTATTGAATCAAACTATGAAATAAATTCCTACATTTAGTCGTCTGATTTTTTTATTATAACGGAAACATCTGATAGGTAGTTGATTTTCTACACGAGTGCCAATGGAGACGGAAGCGTGAAGTAAACGACGAGAGCTTTAGCGACAGATCACAGATTCTGATATTTACCGTGGCAGAATCCGAGGGCGGTGAGGAAACAAACAAACGGAAAAATTAAGTCACGGTTCGCAAAATTCAGACGACACTGATCTTAACGGTGATCACCTGCGAGTCAGAGGAGCTCATCTCCGAGGGTTTCTCTGTGAGCGAGGAGTCGTCGGCGTTGGCGTCGTAGGCGCGCAGACTCTCCTCGTCGCTGTGGTAGAGCACGGAGGCGGGCGCGGGGCGCGGCGGCGGCTTCCCGGGCGCGGCGGGCTTGCGCCGCACCGACGCGCCGCCCTCGCTGTACAGCTCCATGGCCAGCGAGCCGCGCTCCTCGCGCTCGCCCGTCAGCTCCTCTAGGCTCTTCTGAGCTTCTTCTGCACGGTGGAAGCGAATCAGTTACTGCAGCCGCGTGTTATGGCCGAGCGTTTGGCGGCAATTATATACAATTTGTCAAATTATGGTTATGTTATCGTTCTAATNCTTGCGCCGCACCGACGCGCCGCCCTCGCTGTACAGCTCCATGGCCAGCGAGCCGCGCTCCTCGCGCTCGCCCGTCAGCTCCTCTAGGCTCTTCTGAGCTTCTTCTGCACGGTGGAAGCGAATCAGTTACTGCAGCCGCGTGTTATGGCCGAGCGTTTGGCGGCAATTATATACAATTTGTCAAATTATGGTTATGTTATCGTTCTAACAAAACGGATAAAATATATTTTTAATTGTATCTATATCATGCATAACTTTTTAACTAACTGCTCAATAAAAGTGTGAAAATATAAATTTGCGTGACGGAATTTTATAGCTTACTTTTATATTTGTAACTCTTGCTTTTGACGCAAAGAATAGCTATGACGGTGATGATAATGACGACGGAAGTGGCGGCGAGCACGACCATGAACCACGTGTGTCGGTAGAAGGGTCGATATTGCAGATATCCGTACTCCAGGTACAGCTTCGAAGGTGTGACTATCACTTTTTCGTTGTAAGCTGGCTGGCTGATGCCGTAGGCGTTGTACGCGATGACCCGGAACGTGTAAGCTGTCGACGGCAGTAAGCTCTGATACGAAATGGTGAACTCTTCTAACATTCCGTTGCTTGTTCTCGTGATGGTTTCCCAACGAGTGTCATCTGAAATTTAAAGTCGTTGTAATTAATGTTTGTAGAAACAAAAACCGGAAACTATTATTACTGAGAGATATTGGTGCACAAAAAAAAACATGAAAAACTCTATCTAAGTGTCGAGAAGGGTTAACTTGTGCACTCAGAGAACTTACAGGCCTGCCACGCTTCCTTGGCTGCATTAAAATGATGACTCTGTTTAATCATACAATATTGTCTCCAACATTTTACGCTAAGCTTTGCAGTATTTTGTCCGGTTTTCGCGAGTCGTAGACACAATTAAAACTACATTTACGATTTAATTTACCATAAATTTATCCGTATATTGCCTTAATATTAAATCAATTAGTAAAATGCAACATGGCAAACTTCACTTTCATTTACCTTTTCTGCGTGCCTCGATGTAATACCCGAGGAGCGGTCCGCGGCCGGAAAGGGTGTTGTTCCAGCGCAGACGCAGCGCCGCCAGCTCGGGCGCCAGCTGCAGCAGGCGGGGGGCGGAGGGCGAGCCGGGCTGCGGGCCGGTGCGCACGCGGGCCGCGCTCTCCGCGCCCGCACCCACCGTCACCGCACGCACGCTGAACCGGTACTCCGCCTCCTCCTCGAGCCCGCCCACAGCCAACCTTCGCTCTGTTACTTTTTGTTTCACCTGTTTGCTGAAACCTGAAACGTATACATTTACATCGGTGATTATATTTACTGCCCATTGGTATTAGGCAATAGAGCGTATTGTGAGTCCATTATAACTAGCAAACGTGCGCTACGTTTTAAATGGTAAGATTTTTAGAATGGGATCACGACTTCCAGCGCCCATCTTCATGCATGTCAGTAACATTGATGTTTTTATTTATTATTATTTATTTATTTATGTACACACAAAAAGGAAGACATAGAACAGAGTAATAGGAAAATTATGTACAAAGGCACTGCTTATTTCTTTATGGACTGTGTATGGATTGCAGAAACCGCTTAACAAGAAACTGAATTATTAGAATAGCATGTACTCACGTTCGTCTTGTTGCACGGTCTCGTACGTGACGAGGTAGGCCTGCACCGGACCGTTGCGGCGGCGCGGCGGCTCCCACGCCACTACGAGACTGTTCATGGTGATGTCGGTGAAGGTAATGTTTCTGGGCGCGGAGGGCAGGCCCTGCATCGTTCGTGCCACTACGGCATTCGACCGCGGTCCATCACCGGCCGCGTTAAACGCCAACACCTGTGTCGTATACAAAATATACATAATTTTTGTGTATTTATTGCATTTACAATGAGTGATTATCGTCGCTCATGGACATCAGCTGTACCAGGGGCACAACGAAGCCGATGCCTACTATTGAGTGCTCTCCGCAAACCTCGTTTAAAGAAAGAAAAAAATATTTATATGCATGGATTTGATAGGTTTAAATAAAAGTAGTAAAAATAGTTTACCTGAATACGATATTGCGTGTATTTATCGAGAAAGACCAGCGAATGTGAAGTGGCCGTGGCGGGGACCACTTCTATTTCTTCCTCAACGCGTCGCCCCGGCTCCGGGTCTTCGGGTGATTCTGTCATTATGTAGAAAATCTGAAACATTAGATTTTTTTATTATCAGTGAATAACGCGCGACTAACTTCAAACCTATAATAATGAACAAATGTGTAAATTTTCTCGGAGCTAAACGTCAAGACTCGTCTATCTACGATCTGTATGCAGCGTCTCCTCAAGTACTTCGGACATGTAGCCCGACGAAATCCTGACAACTTGGAAAAACTAATACATAATTGTAGGTCACGTAGAGGGAAAGAGAAGTCGAGGAAGAATGCCAACCAGGTGGACGGACATTGCCAAGGGGGCCACAAACACCAGCGTCCCGGGCGCCATTAAGCAGGGCGAATGCAGGCAACATTGGAGGAAGCTGGTGCAAAAACTAGACCAAGGTGGTCACAACCCTCAATAACGAGGAAGCGACGAAGAAGAAGAAGAAGAATAATAATGAAGCTACATTTATACATGTATTGGCTGGCGTGAATGCCTTACGAAGAAAAGTCGGTCATCGAGTGAACGAACTTTTTGTATAAATTTCGTTGCAAGCGTTTGCACGAAATGACAAATGAAGGATTCCCTACCTTTTAATTATACAATTTGAAAAAACAAAAGCATCCGTTAGCTTATTTTCAAATTAGATTTTTAAAACGGGTGAAAGAGAGAAGTATGTTTAGTCTGATTTTTCCGTTTATGTATATTATCATCTATAGTAATAAGACGTCAGAATAGTTTAATAAAATCGCCGATCACGTGTCACGATCAGCAAAGCGTTTTTCTTCTTAAATAAGCACAACTGTACATACCTTATAGCCTAGTAGATCTCCATTGCGGTGGTGCAGAGCGGGCGGCGCCCAGTTGAGCGTGACCTCGGTGGGGGACAGCGGCACGGCGGAGAGCGCGGCGGGCGGGGCGGTGGGCACGGCCTCGCCCACCCACACCACGGCCGGGGTGCCGGCGGGACCGGACCCCTGCGAGTTCACGCCGCACACGCTGATCTCGTAGTTACGGTCCACCGCCAGCTCCGTCAGAACAGCTTCTGAAGTCTACAATGCAATCAAAATTACATTTCAGTATCTCAGATTTTTTATCTCAGAAAGATTTTAATTCGATTTTAATAATCAACCAGGAATTTCTAAATGGGACTGTTTTGCTATACAATAGGCGCGATTCGTACACCGCACCGTGAGATGCTCCAGTTGTATACGCGTATCCGGGTAATGATGGGACGATTAATATCTAATTATCAATAATATATGACGAATTTTTAGGTATTTTTCAAAGTGGCTCAGAGTTCAAAGGTTTATCTTAAGCATTAAACTATCCATACCTTTACGCCGGTCACTTCAAGTTTCATGGTCTGTTGCAATGCAGTAGGGAAGTCTGTGAGTGGTTGATAAAATATTCGGTACCCTCCCGTCCGAGCATCACCACTCCAGTACTGTTCCGACAGCGGCGTCCACTGCACGCGCACGCTGTTCGGCGTTATTGGAACCACGTGCAGATTCTCAACGGCTTTACTCGGAGCTATTAAAAAATGCATCTAATTGTAATTTAATTCATTTGATCAATTTTTACTGGTGGTAGAACGTCTTGTGAGTCCGCATGGGTAGATACCATCACCTTGCCTAATTCTGCCGTTTAGCAATAATTCGTTTCGGTTTGAAGGGCGGGACAGCCGTTGTACTGTTATAAGTGAGACCTTACAACTCATGTCTCAAGGTGGTGGCGGCATTTGCATGTCCATGAGCTCCAGTAACCTCTTAAGACCAGGTGGGCCGTGAGCTCGTCTACCCATCTATGGAATAAAAAAGAAAAAGATGAATAAAAGTTTTAAGCTGCTAAGTCGGGTGTACTTTACATACCTGCAGGTAAGGTCCGAACAGTTTCAGTAGCGTTACTGTAGCGACTGGGGCCCATGTCGTTGGTGGCTCTAATCCTGAATTGATAACCGGTATAAGGCTTCAAGCCCTCAGCGGTGTAGGATGTAGCAAACGGATCTATTCTCTCAGGGATAGTTTGCCACGTGCCTCCTTCCTCCTTTTGCTGAACTGTGTAGTACCTGTTGAATTTGTTCACTGGTTTGTTATTATTGACCGGTTTAATAAGGGGAGCGGAGGTTCTTACAACAGAAACAGCCGGAAGACTGCCAGAGAAGCCGCCCCTTGTGTATTTGCGAAAATTCATGTAATACTGTACTCCTATAACAGAAGTGTTTGTACAATGAATACAAACAAATATGCATTTAAAAATGGTGTTAAATGTAACTTTAAATCACTGATTTTTTGTCAGTACATATGAGTCGACTATTATCAAAGGCGGCAATCTGACTTTTGGACAATGATTGGTAAATCAGAAAAACGAATTATTGACTTTGTATTCCATTGGCAGTCACAAAACTCTTCGGAACGACATCTTAGATAAGTAACAGGTTAACTATTAACCTTTATTTAATGCAGGTTTTGAACCGTATTCTTTGAAGGAGACGACTATATTCAAATAAATCTGTATTGACACATCAATAAAATTTTTTTGTCCAAATGTACAGATTGCCACCTTTGATAATAGACGACTCATATATCTGTTTATTAATCCATGTTTTCGTCGACTTTGCTGGGTCATGCACTGACGATTGGAAGAATGAGATGTTATAGTGTTAGTTAGAGCCAAGTAAACGTTCTTGACTATGCAAGCTGGTATTTATAAAGATGACATTGGTTGGGGTTGCATATTGAAGGCAGTCAGTCACCTGAGCGGCGCGTATCCGTCGTCTCCGGGCGTCCAGGAGAAGGTGATGTGGTGCGGCTGCAGCAAGGAGCGCGCTACATGCGGGCGCGGGGGCGGCAGGGGCGGGGAGCGGTTGGCCGTCGTCAGTACGAGCGCGCGGGCGGTCACCCCCCAGCCCAGTCGTGTCTGAGCGCGCACGCTGAACACGTAGTACTGCTCCGACGACAACTCTGTCGCTCTGTGGATGCGTGTTTCAGTTGTCGTATTTATCAAACGATCGATATTCATTTCAGACGTAAATTGCTTTATAAGATGCATCTTCATGCCGTAAGCGAAAAATAAATTGTATAATAGCCGGCAAACTTCTTGAGCATTTGTTGACGTAGTGGGGGTAAGTTTGCGCATGGTACATTCACGTGCAAAAACATTATTTACTCTACGTCATAATGCAATTAAATTATTAAAATCAACATATGTATTTATTTATATATTTATTAGAACATCAACAAAAAGTATAGGTTAATAATTGTAATAATTTAATCTTGGGGTAAAATAGATATTCCTTCTATTAAGTCAAAACTAGAGCTGTTGCCAGGTCTTGATTCAGTTGAAGCGAAGCTGGTATTTGTAAAAATTTTTTTCGTTATCATAATCTTGACCATCATCATCACTGTTTTCATTACCCGAGTCGCTATCATCGTGATGAGTCGACATAGGGCTCATCGGTGTAGTTTACAACTCGGTCGGTTCGGTCTATTTTGTGTTTTTTTTTGTCTATAATTAATTATTTTTTGAAGATATTCGATTCGTAGTAATCGAATGTAACTTTTTTCAATTACGAGCTTCCGATTATTTTCTGGGTTTTTTTTTCCATCTGAAGTCTAGCTCTTTCATAATACGTCGTAAACTTCATACCGAGCCATTAAAATTTATATCTTCTTTAAATTTATCGAAGCCTTTCTACGGTACGGAGTTTCGCTGTTTGTTATGTAGTTATTATGATTACATCTTTTTATTACAGATTGAACGAAACTTTCCATTCCGGTAACTTTCTTCTTCCCTGATCTTTTCTTACCCGGAGTCCGAAACACGGCGAGCAAGCCAGAGCCTTTAGCTTCGTTAATAATGCACCTAACAGTTCTCACGGATGTTTCTGTTGCTTCCGAAGTCTGTTTTACTTTTTCCATATCATTCTTCCCCTATTTTATAATGAAGCAATATACGTCGTACACAATTTTTCTACCCTTTCTTTTGAATACTACACCAGTTTGTCGCGGCATAGTGTATTTTTTATAAAAAATCAACAAACACTCAACAAATAGCAATGGCAACAAAGTTAACAAGCAATTATAACAAATAACTTAACGATTAATAACGATAGACTTTTTACTGTACGCAAGCGTACTTTTGGGAGCAAGCGGAATGAGGGCGCGGTGCGGGACGCAAGGTTCGACTGATCTACCAATAACGCGCTCGATACGATTTCCCCTGCCGCCGCGCCTCACCCTCACCACCAAAGTGACCTAAAATTCGGTTCTGCGCAGTAAGGTCATTTGCTCAAGAAGTTTGCTGATTACTATACCGATTAGACGACAAAATTTGAATCGGTCTGGGATCGGTCAATTTAAATATTTAGACAAGAGTATTAGCCAGTTAATTAGTACTTGTACAATTAGTAAAAGAGTAGTACGCTCAAATTGAGAAACTGTTAAGTCGGTTAAAATGCAAAATATAAATCAAAATTTATGTTATGTTGTTTAATCCTTAATAAGAAAATAGCTGGAATTTAAATTGGTTTTATAAAATAATCGAATAGCTTATTGTCTTACCTAAATGTGCGGTCTGACGGTAAAAATTCTCTGGAGAACATGTGCTGCGTGGAACTATTGAGATGGTACACGACTTTGTAAGCGAGTATCTCGCCGTTCGGGTCCTCCGGTACGTCCCATATGATCCGAGCTGTCGTAAACGTGACATCGGGGAAAGAGACGTTGGATGGGGGCCCCGGTGCTGTAATTTACAGTATTTTTAGTTTTTTTTTTAAATAAAAAGATGTCTTTTTTGACATTGTCCCACACGCGATCAGGGCGTTTCTGTTATTAAGGGATTATCGAAAGCCATCGCCATACATGCAAGCACATAGGCAACGTGAAAATGGTCATCTTGAGATATGAGGTCAAAGTCTCAAACATACAAAATACACATGTCTAATGTGATTTTGCTGTTTCTTTTATACTGTTCTTATGTCGTTGTTGTCATTGATATGAGTAAAGCCATTCATTTTTGTGAATTACATGAATGTATTGTATTAAATGAAAAGACGAATACTTACTGTCTTCAAAAGTCCTTGCAGTAACCGGGGGGTCGCTCAGGGCTCCGTCGCCCAGCCTCGTGTAGCCGAGCACCTGTATCTGGTACACCACATATTTCCTGAGCTCGGTCAGTGTGACCGTGTGCGTCTGATTGGAGGGTATTGCTTGACATTCGATCTTCTTGTGTTCGGGGCGCGGCGGCGGCGTCACGGCCGCGTAGCACACCTTGTAGCCTTCAATGAGACCGTTTTGATCTTGTGCAGAGATGTCGCCCCACAAGACCACCACCGTAGTCGATGAAGTGGCGTTCGCTGATACGTCGCTCGGGCCTCGTGATGGCACTAAAACGTTAATACACACACACATTTTATTGGTTTGTAAAATTGCCTTTATGGTGTAGTGACCGAATCTATGGTTTATTTTTTAAGTTAAATCTTGCACAGCATTGTAATTTTAAACTTGTGTGGTGATGAAACGGAAACTACACTCAAATACTAAACAGTAAACAGAGACAAATATATACAGCTATAAGCTTCATCTTTAGAGGGATATAATAATTATAAAGGTTTCACTTCTACCGTGTGTCAGCTACACACGGGTTTTTTACTAACATTGAGCAGACAACCTTACGAACTATTCGATTACCTATATAAGTTTGGGAACATTTCTGTTGCAGCCTGGGTAATAACTTTGCAGCAACAGGAAGACCAAGCTGACAATGCGTATGAGTTCATAACGCTAGCATCTACGTTTACCATATTCCAAAAGATAGAATAGACGAGATGGAAATATACTCACCAGCTTCCCTGGTCCTCTCAAAAGCCGTAGGACTTTCGGCTGAAGTGCCCACTTCGTTTATTGCAGTCATACGTATTTCGTAGACCGACCACTCCTCCAAATTGGCTAAGACATGTGAATTGGCCGTGTGATCTTCGATAATGCTATGAAGTGTGTCATTTGTTCCGCTCCTCTTGTACGTTATGTTATAGCCTTTAGGGTTACCGTACCATTCGCTCTGCTGTAAAGGCTGCAAAAAGCTTATTCATATACATAAATGCGTACGTGCATTTTAAATATTGTTAGTGGCACACGATTTAGCATTGGACTTTTAGATTCAGAAAGATTAAATAATCTTTTTATTGCATTCTTATTTAAAATTTATAATAAACTTAAAAATAAATAAGTACAACTAAAAATATACACGGAAATCTATGTGGCACTTGAATTGTTAATGGCGGATGTCAGTATAATTGAGTCGTCTATTATCAAAGGTGGCAATCTGTGCATTTGGACAAAATTTTTTTATTGATATGTCAATACAGATTTATTTGAATATAATCGTCTCCTTCAAAGAATACGGTTCAAAACCTGCATTAAATAAAGGTTAATAGTTAACCTGTTATTTTTCTAAGATGTCGTTCCGAAGAGTTTTGTGACTGCCAATGGAATACAAAGTCAATAATTCGTTTTTCTGATTTACCAATCATTGTCCAAAAGTCAGATTGCCGCCTTTGATAATTGTCGACTCAATTGTCTTAAAACTTTAAAAGGTGTCATTATAAAACAACCTAACCATTATTTTCCTAGACGTCACCTGTGTGTTGAAATTTGGAGAGTTAAGTATTACGAATCAATGGAACCGATAGTTCTCACTCGGGGACCATTTAACAAATTATGAATACTTACAATCCATCTCACTCTCAAGTTATTGGCACTAACGGCGCGAACCGTAACGTTCTTGGGGGGATGACGCGGAGGCGCCTGGATGGTCTGAAACTCCTTACAGGGCTCCGAAGGTTGAGAGGATCCTACTACATTAGTCGCTATCAAGCGCAGTCTGTATGTCGTGAAGGGGACCAAGCCGGTGACCAGTATGGATTGAGCTTCTGGAGCGTTCACTTCATAGATTGTAATCCAGGACGAGTTGCGTGCCGTTTGCGCCTGTCGACAAGAAATGGATTTGTTATTTGACATTTAGTCTAACTATGCAAACGTTAATTTTTAAATTAAACCAAAGTTTTTAATTTTATGATTAAATTTAAGACGTAATTAGCCAATTCCCTTTCATATACGAAGATAGAGAGATAGCTAGCAGTAAACAGCGGCTTGGCTGTTCCTCCTGGCATTGCTGCGTCCATGGGCGACGGTGATCACTTATAATCCAGTGGGCCACGTGCAAGTCTGACTATAATGACAATTAAAAAAGATAAAAATGGTAGAGGATTACATGCATGGGTCAGCGCACGTAAGCACCAGACTAAGTCGTAAAGTATCATCAATCTATTCTGCGAATATCTAAGGACACAGAATGTGTCAAAAATTTTAATTTTATAAGAGAAATTGTCAACATTTATTATTATGACTATTTTGTTCAATTTATTTTAAAACTATATTTATGTCTGAGCCGTTTCTATATGTCTGCCGTTAAACCCCTTCTACCGCACTATGAAACGATCAGATGATACTATTACATATTGAGATTCTTATTTGTTTCGGTACGTTGTTTTACCTGCACGGTCCACAGCGATATAGATGAGTTGCCGTCGAATCCGGGGGTGAACTGCAGCAGCACAGAGAAGGCGTCGATGTTGGAGAGGGCGAGGTTCCGCGGCGCGTCGGGCAGCACGGGCTCCACGCCCGACTGGATGGTGGCCGCGCGGGCCGCGCCCGACCCCACCGCCGTCATGCCGCACAGCCAGAACTTGTAGTGGGTGCTCGCCTGGAAGGAACAGACAACACTTAATGGTATTTTTATTGCCTTCGATAACAAACGAACACACGGTCCAGCTAATATTGGCCATCGTAGCCCGTGGACATAGGCACAGCCCAGCCGCTGCCTATCGCTTAAGACTCCATTACAATAGCGATTGGAAGATATATGGTAACGCTCTGTCAGCACCATGGAGAAGAGTTCAATGCAGATCCAATGGAGAAGAGTTCAATGCAGATCCAGATAGTGTACCAAGAATATCCAGGATGATAAAGATAATACTACAAATTAGGTTATGTAACGACACATCGTTTTGGCTCAATAAAGTTTAAAACTACTTGACCAAATATGTACTCAATTATTTTTTGTTTTGACAATTCAAGGTTTTTTTTTTTTTAAACACTTACTTGCAATTGTTCGACTTTGATGCTCGTAACGTTTGGCGGTAGGACCTCTTCTTTGTAAGACTCCGAATTGTTTATTATTTCATAAGACAGTTTGTAGCCGAGCAGAATACCGTTGGACTTTTTCGGTGGACTCCACGACACTCTCACTGCGCGGTCTGATATTTCATCAAAAAGCAAACTTCCAACTTCGTCGGGAACTGAAAATTTGCGAACACATTTGTTAACACGCTTTTATTAGCATTAGAACAAATATGCATGTTTGTTTGTATGTAATATAATTTTTGAAAGTCATTTTCTCCGACTTCAAGACATCTGATAAACTTGAATCAAGGACAGAGTATAATACAATAATTTTATAACTTCACTCTAATATCTTGATCAGATCAAAAATATTAATTCGGTTTGGTACTTATGCGTGTTCTTTTAGCCTTTTGTCCTACATCTGTTATTTTTAATTTTTATAATGTTGTTGTAAAGAAATTCGCGTAAACAGTTTTTTACTGGTGGTAGGACCTCTTGTGAGTCCGCACGGGTAGGTACCACCACCACCCTGCCTATTTTTACCGTAAAGCAGTTATGCGTTTTGGTTTGAAGGGTGAGGCAGCCGTCAATACCGTCTTTACCATAAGGGCACACGGGGCCCGTGCCCAGGGCTCCCATTCTCAGGGGGCCCCGAAAGACCGACAATTTCTCTCACACGTTTATTCTCAAAACATTTTTGTCGGGCACATTACACTTATTTCACAAATCAGTAATCAGAAGGTATTTACAAGGCATATACTATGCCTATAATAGAAGATTTTGCTCAGCAGAAATCCCGAAAGAAACCGTTATCGAAATCGTAACCAAAAAACCAGCAGCATCCTAATATCATTAATAACATATTATATCATACTGTATTTGATTGCCTATAATAAAAAGTCTCAAACTCAGTAAAAAATGTTATTATAATTCGCTTTTTTTACTTTCCAAAAGGGCCTCAAATTCTTGTGTGCCCAAGGGCCCCATCCTAGTTTAAGACGTGCCTGGCAGCCGTTGTAACTATACTGAGATCTTAGAACTTATATCTCGAGGTGGGTGGCGCATTTACGTTGTAGATGTCTATGGGCTCCAGTTACCACTTAACACCAGGTGGGCTGTGAGCTCGTTCACCCATCTAAGCAATAAAAAAAACATTAAACTCACTGTCTTCTTTGGTCCTAACGACGAAGTAATCGCTGCGGGGCCCGTCTCCTGGTTCCGTGAAGCACAACACCGTGATGTTGTATTCCGTGAACCGCTCGAGGTCATCTATTATGGCCGACTGTTCGGTGAGGGGGTCCAGCAAGTTGGGCGGCACACTTGCTAATTTCTGTTCAACGTTTTCATTCTCTGCGTCGTCCCATTTCCACGCTTGAATCTTATAGCCCTGTTCGAGAAGATTGTTCTGTTATTGAAACGTGCTAACGTGAACAGGGTAAGGGTTGAAATGGACAAACAACATTCAAAATGATCTTTGATATAAGGGATTGTTAGATTATATATCAATGTAGTGTGAATTTTATTTTTAAAGTGAATGTGAACGAGCTTTTAGTTTTCGTCTTACATACAATTTCTTACATGCAGAGATTCGTTAAGTTTGAATTATTTCTTCTTTTTTTAAGGGATTTTATGGCCTGGTAACTAAGACCTTTAGGTCAAGTCTTATTTTAATTTTAATGATTTTTTTATACATGGATAATGATATTATGAAATTAAATGCAGTTGATTAATATGAAACATGGCATGAAATGAAATGAGATGATATGTGATGAAGTATAATCTCAGTAAAATGATGGTCATACACTGAGACTTTTTCATTGGACTTTTTGGAGGATCCCTAGAAGTTACATTCAGCGGCTTTGTTTCAATTTCCCACATTTGTGCACTTTCACCGATACTAAACAGTTAATAAATCACCCTTATCATACATTTAAACCTGAAGAAAGACTAAATAGACAAAATAAAACAAATCACACAACTTCACTCCTTGCGTTCCCGCCAAAAAGTCCTGAATTATTTCTGCCTTATCGCCCACAGATTACGTAAATTATTTACTAGTTCCGTACCTGGTTGATGCCGTTAATTTTCTGCGGGTTCGGCGGGGTCCACGTGACCATGACCGCGGTCGAGTTGTACGCCTCACACCGCACGCTGTCGGGCGCCGCCTCGGGCACTCCCTCCTTCGTTTTGATAGTGTAGCTATCTGAGAATACTCCAACGCCTTTGTCGTTGTACGCAGCAATCTGGATGTTGTAATCTTTCCACGTGATCAAGTCTTGTATTAAATAGTTCCTCTGTGCCTCGTTGGTGATGTTCTGGTAAGTCCAAGGGCTGTTTTCGTAGCCACGTAGCCTGTATCTGATGACGAATCCAAGAATGTGTCCGTTTCGATGCTCTTCTAAAGGAGGCTGCCATTGGGTTATTATTTCTGATGAAGAACGCGCCGAAGCTATGAATCCAACGGGAGGACCGGAGGGCGCTGAAATAGTTCATCATTAAGTATGGTTTAAATTTGGTTCAACTAAAAACTCATCGCGCTGCAATTGAGTGCGTGTAAAGATATATAAAAGTGTCACGTAATAAGCACGGACTTATAATGCATGAAAAAAGTATCAAAATATGCAACATCAGTAACATGCAAAAAATAAAACATGGCGATTATAAAAATCTACTTGACTATGACATACAATATAGAAATTGAAGACAAATTGGGCAGAAAAAAAAGGTTTCAAAAACACAATTTATAACTGAGACTTCATTCTTAAACTATTACTAAAAATTGACGGAAACTGATAAATATCGCAAAAGGAAAACATACAGGTTGATATTACATCAATCGTACCTTGGCAGCATATAAAATCTTCAGCCGCTTGATCACAAAGAAAATACACTTAAAATTATGTGAAAATGACATTTATGTTTGACAAAATAAAGATGACAAAAAATTGTTTATTAATTGATTTTTTTAATTTCATATTAATGAAGAAGTTTATTTACCTTCCTGTGGGAGGGTCAGCACGTCGGTCGGGTCCGACGGCGGCCCTTCCCCTACTGTGTTCACAGCTGAGACTCTGAACTGGTACGAAGTGGCGGCCTTCAAACTCGTCAATAAAACCCAGCGTTGTGTCGAGGAAACGTTCATCGGTTCTGTTACCCAATTTAACAATGGGTCCGGTATAGGTCCTAATCAGAGAGTGAATTCGTTATAAATAAATATAAAAAAAACTATAGATTATGAATCATATGGATGGAGCATTAATGTTATTTTTTACCTAAACTTGTCTCTTTGTTATGCGAAATTGTATAGTGGAGCTTCAGGATATTATAATCTCCATTTTATGAGATATCTAGTGTATATTTTAAGGACCTCTGTTCCTTCTACTTTAGTTGTAATTCTCAACATTACTAAAGAAATTATATCGTACCGAATTCGGGGACGACTCTCCTTTGAACTATAAACTTTTGGATCGGTGAGTTTCCGTCAAAACCGGGTGTCCACGATATGTTGACGGCGCGCTGAGAGGCCGCCTCCAGTCTCATTGCGCGGACGTTTGTCGGTGCAAAGGGCAGCTCGATGACGGAGAGGACCGCGTGCCGCGTGTGGTTGCCGCCCGGTGACGTCACCACGCACGTGTACTCGCCGGCGTCGCTAGCGCGCACCGCCTGCACTTGCAGTGCCCCGTCCGCCGACACTATCACCCTGGAGCCAGCTGTCATCGGCCTAAAGTTACAAATATTACGAATATCATTACAATACACAATACTCCTCGAATTACTTTTAAACGTTTTAGTGCTGAACTTATTGTCACATATTTAGCAGAAATTGCTAAAGGATTTTTGAAAAAAACAATAGGTACAACAACTTTACCTTAAAAAAAACAAAAATCAATGCTAAACTTACAGCATTGTTTCTTTTTTTTTAAATGGTTATTTGTAAATGTTTTTACGTTATTAAAAACGTTGTACATGCGCGCTCTAAACACATTCGTACAGGTGGATACCTAATACTTAGAATCAAACTGAGTATTAGTCGGTATTCCGACGCTCCGCACTTTATACACAATGACATTAATAGAGTCGATCTTTTTTTTTTTATTGCTTTAATGTGTGGACGAGCTCACAGTCCACCTGGTGTTAAGTGTTTACTGGAGCCCATAGACATCTACAACGTAAATGCGCCACACACCTTGAGATATAGTTCTAAGATCTCAGTATAGTCACAACGGCTGCCCCACCCTTCAAACCGAAACGCATTACTGCTTCACGGCAGAAATAGGCGGGGCGGTGGTACCTACCCGTGTGGACTCACAAGAGGTCCTTACCACCAGTAATTACGCAAATTATAATTTTGCGGGTTTCATTTTTATTGCACGATGTTATTCCTTCACCGTGGAAGTCAATCGTGAACATTTGCTGAGTACGTATTTCATTAGAGAAATTGGTACCCGCCAGCGGGATTCGAACACCGGTGCATCGCTCGATACGAATGCACCGGACGTCTTATCCTTTAGGCCACGACGACTTCGTCTATCGACGGTTCGCGCTCAAAGGGTTAAAGTACGTACCTTATATCATAAACTTCGAGCTACTATGGCATTGTATAATGAAAACTAGGGTTTTGCACTTTAATCTCGTAATCTTTATTGTCAGTATATTATTTCTGACGTTTTAAACACTTTACAGTTTTCGTGGTCTAGAATGACTGAAGAAATGTCGGAATCAATAAGATAAAAACAATAAAATGCGAGATTAAGCTGTAAAACTTGGTTTAATTATGTCTGCGACTCGCGAAAACCTAACTATATATTAATATATAGCATTGTATTTTTTACGTTTAGAAACATATAAATCTATCTGATTTTTTTATGTTATGTTTGATTCCACTCAAACTACTCCCTAAATCAACAACGAAGCTATATTGATGAAATGTAAATGTCTAACATTTTTATTAGAAAATTAATTTAAATAATTTTATCATTCGAAGATTTGTTTAAGAATACAAATAAAATTGTAGTTAGACACTCACTGCTTGTTGTGGAACCAATCAATATTGTATTTGACATTGGGATCGTTCGAAACTTTGCATTGCAACGTCGCTGTATGACCTAGAAGCACTCGAGTGTCCACAGGCGGAGCAATAATTTGAGTTCTCACTGAAATGGAAACAAATGCTTTAGATATCAACGAGGTATGTACAATTAATACATATCGAAGGTGAAAGGCTATGTGGTTTAAGCGACGTTTAATCTTTATAAAAGGTCCGTTTTATTTAGTATCAGCAATTCGATGTTTTTAATTGAACTTCAATTAAGTTTACCCCATTCATACAGCTGCAAAAGCGTCTTGTTATGATATTTTTTCATTTTTTATAAAAATGTGACAACCTGCGACAAGGACGGCGGGAGGGGTTCAAAAGTCCTAAAATTCGTGTGACGTAATTTATGGATGGCCCCTTTCAAGAAAACCGCCTTTTGTAAAACATACAATATATGTATTTATATAAAAATTTTGGAATTTAATTTTAAATCGTTAGAAATTAAAGGGCAAATATTATTAATAAGAATGTAACTCGGCCTGTTGTGTTTTCGGGCCCAAGCCAGTGAACCGATTTTGATGAAACTAACTCGGTATGGAAATAGTTTGAACCCTGTTAGAGAATATAGGCTACTTTACATCTCACTAAGCAAGGGTCTCCTCTCACGGAACATATACTGTAAGTTCGCGCGAGAAAATCTGCGGACGGTAAACTATTACGCAAATAAATAAATAAAACAATTAATTTACTCACTATTATTATTGAAACAATATGGACTTAATAAATAAAATACACGGGTTAGCATTTTTTTTAACCCTCTTTACTATTGTTTCTTTTGATCGTTGCTCACATGTGTTACGTTAAAATAAGGACGCGACGACATGTTTTATTTATTTCACAAACTAAGAGTTTTGTTTTGAATACATTATGTACAGACGTCCCTGTGTGCACTGTTAAGTTTATCGATGTACACGATAAAACATACACTAGGTAGTATGAGTTTATAATTTGAATGCATAATATTCTTACCGAGTACTGTCAGGTATGCCTCTCCAGATACGTTTCCGGCGTCGTTCGCACGAAGACACGTATATTTGCCGCTGTCTGCTGTTGTTGTGCTAGTTATCAATAAATCTCCATCTTCAAGAGCTTGCAGTCGTCCAGATAGATTTATTATTAAGGAGTCTAAAATTTTAAAAATTAAATAAAACTTGTTTTCTTTTTATTATAGATTTTACGTTTACTCAGAACCACATAGTCGTCCAGATAGATTTATTATTAAGGAGTCTAAAATTTAAAAATTAAATAAAACTTGTTTTCTTTTTATTACAGATTTTACGTTTACTCAGAACCATATAGTCGTCCAGATAGATTTATTATTAAGGGGTCTAAAAATTAAAAATTAAATAAAACTTGTATTCTTTTTAATATAGATTTTACGTTTACTCAGAACCATATAGTCGTCCAGATAGATTTATTATCAGAGTCTAAAATCATAAAAATTAAATGAAACTTGTCTTTTTATATATAGATTTTACGTTTACTCAGAACCATATTACGTACCGCACTAATTAAATAAAAACATGTCGGTTTAAAAATTTACTTTACTAATCTATCATCAAATGAAATCAAACAAACACCATTAAATTTACAAAGTGGTATAGTTCCCACAAATATTACATTATTAAGAGCAAAATAAAACGCGTGAGGGATCTCAATTAGCTATGGGTATTCGAATAACATTTCTCGGGCGTTACTAACCATTAAAGTACCAGGTAACGTTGGGAGTTGGTGCTCCGATGGCACGGCATGAAATAGTTGCGTCTTTCCCGTCGAGTACGGTCAGATTCGATGGCGGAGTCTGCATTATAGGCGGGGACGCTACAAGCCACGCACACACAAAGTTAGTAAGTACAAGAATACTTATAGCGATACTTCTTTTGAGATTTAAAAAAAAACACGTGTCCTGAAAAGTGTTAGTATCACACAGAAACGATTTAAATCTATTATACGAGTCATGCAAACAATAATTATAAATTAATAATTAATACAATTGAATTTATTACTTGGATGTCATGCACTGTCACTATTCTATCTCATTATGCAGGTGCTAAGACTAAAATTAAGTTAAAATATAAGTTATAATCAAGTATCACATAAGGTGTAAAGAAATGCTCGTAAAGTCGATATGGAAGTTCAACACAAACATATTTTTTTTCCTACCCATCCGAAACAGTATACATTAACGGCCCGTAATCTAAAGAGAAGTAAGCTGACGATGACCCGTTCCCGTTTCACTGCGCGTCACCTAGACCCCCGTGTGCCAGCTGATTTTTAATTGTATTACAAAGCGTGCATTTCCAAAACATTAAAATAAAATGAAAGTTTCCAGAAACAAGTTGACACCCCGTATAGGATCCCCAACGGATTCTTTACAAGGGACTATTACAACTTCAGTAAACTTTGCAACTGTCAATACACTTGCAGAAGTCAGGTAGCAGAATGGTGAATATTTTATATGTGTTCCGTATTTTAGTGACTGAATAAATTTTCGCGTTCACGTTTCAATGTTTCTCTTTTTAATCATTTAATCCCACATCCTTATTTATATATCTCTGTAAGTTGGTAAATTCAAATCGAATATTCGTCGAATTAGTACGTAGTGTGTCCCAGATTAAGTATTGAAATTTGATTGTTTAATTTTAATATACTATATTACAAAACACAATTACATATATTATTATTCTTTAAATTCGTTGTATAAGAGTAAGTGTCTATTTTCTAACGCATAAAGAAGCAAAAAAAAGTGTACACTGGAATTACAAATAAAAATATTTTTAACGGAAACATAAGGAAAGCAAATTTCTGTGAAAATATAAACCACTCAAACATCACTCTGTGCTTTAATGGAACTAATTTAAAATTATTCTTACTGCCGGTATCGAATTTGAATGTTTTTGACTTTTTGTCTGAGCTTCTCATTCTAATTAACTTCATATGACTGCGTGGTAATCGTCTAGTGGATGCTGCATGGCAGTGAGAACAGTTTCGTTATTACATATTAATTTGGTTCTTATAATACAACTCTCTATTTATAAATTGGTAACGACAATACTGTTGAGTATAAATTCATCCTCTGTTTGTTACCAGATATTATTTTTCGTTTAGTAGCTATTGACAAGCTTTAGTGTTTTATCAATGAAAAGTTTTGGAAATAGTTTTTAAATTTACTTAAAAAAATACAATAGTTAAGTACAATTTTCTCTTTTATTTATCAACCGATTATATTTTATATACATACATATTAAAGTTTTAATAGATACGGTAGCAGATGTACTGTTACCGATAAATATTGGAAACAATCCTTTTTCCAAATATTCAAAAATACATAAGTAATACATATAATGATATTTGAAGTAAGAGAAAATGTAATACAAAAAATCAATATTATAAATATCAATATTTATGTTAGTCAGAGGTTATGGTCAAATTACGATCATTGGGCGAACACTAGTACAGCAAATTCTAAACAATGTACATTACTCACTTTTTATTTTCAGCCACGTGTATATGGACGTTTCCCCGGCGTCGTTGCTCGCTATACATTGAAAAATACCCATGTCTTCCATTTTTAGATCGCTGATGACAAGTGATCGATCCACTTCGACTCTGTACCTGCCTCCGCCATCATCAACATCTGAGTTGTCCGATTCTCCGACTTCAGCACCTACACTCGCGATCTTTTTAGCGTCTTTATACCAAGTGATCCCAGGTAACGGTATACCTTGAACATCACATTCCAATACAATAGATTTTCCGAATTCTCCAAAAGTTTCGGATCTTAAATTCGTTAAGAATACTGGCTTCTCATAAACTGTGACTGTTGCGGATGCGGTAACAGTGGCAAAACCGCCGGTTTTCAACCTTGCTTGACACGTGTACTGCCCCGTGTGGGTTAAGTTAGCAGATATAAGGGATAGAGTTCTATTCCATTGGTCGTTTAAGTTAAATGTAATTCCTGCTAGATCGATCATGATACCGTCTTTGAACCATAAAGTCTCTAATTCGTGAAGTGGTCTCGCATTTGCGATACAGTACAAGTCAGTGTATTCTTGTCCTTTTGTTATTGTGGTATCCTCTGGTTTAATAACGATTTCCGGTGGTATTTCTTTGTCATCATCACCGTATACATTTAATTTGATATAAGGACTGTTTTCTTCTTTACCTAGTTGTGTATTTATAGCTCGAACTCTGCAATATAAAATAAGGTTTTGCCAAAAATATTTTTTTTTGTTATTCAGTTGCGATATTGTAATTTAGATGGTATCGTGGTAAATGTACTCTATTACAAACCGATATGATCTTTCATCTTCATGATTCGCACATAATATGACTAGTTGATGTTTCCCAGTTACTGCATATTTTTGATCGTATTTTAAAGCTCCATGTTCATCTTGCCAAATAACCGAAGGGGATGGTTCCGATTCAATATGGGGAAATTCAATTATAGCTGCCCTACCAGATTCTACACTTACGACTGTATCAGTTATGTTATCGAATACTCCCATATCTGTAAAGACATGTTTTGTGGTATTATTGTGCAATCAAAGTTATTTTTAACTTATTATATCATTTAATAATCTTTCTTAGTGAACTTACAGGCTACTATTATATGACTTTTTTTGCTGAAAATTGCACCCACGTCGTTTTTTGCGATACACTGATAAGCGCCGGCATCTTGCCGTTGTGTGTTGTGAATTTTATAAAATAATTCGGAAGAGTAATCAGTCAGGGGGATTCCATTTTTCAGCCATTTGTACATCGGTTGTGGTATACCTAGATGAACATTAAAACGTAATTAGAAAGAAGTAACAAATTTAACTCTATTTTATCAGCGCACCGACGCGACGTCCACTGCTCGACATAGCCTCTCTACAAAGATCGGTCCTGCGCTGCTTACATCCAGCGGCTTCCTGCGAACCTCAATAGGTCAAATTTAACTAAATACGTTTAATTCTTTATACTATTAGTTTTACTTACCCATCGCAGAATATTGTAGTATCTTGGTTGTACCCTCTCTGACAATATTTGACGTGGAAGGTTGCATACTAAATCGAGGTGGTTGCATTTGTACTGAAAAATGGAAATTACGATTTTAAAGCAATTATTCGACGACAGTTGTTGTATAATCATAATATCTACATTTAGTAACGATGACATTGTTAAATATGTATATTAATGAACAAGTTAAATGATTATGTCTACTGTTTTAAAACGCACTAGCTGTTAACTAAACACAGAGAAGAATCGCTTAGAGATTCTACATCTGACAGAAAGTAGATAAACTACGTTACAATAATTTTACAATTAATATAAGTCCACATAGGTAGATACCACTCTTCAGTGGGGCAGTTGTTTTAGAATACAATAAAGTTTCGGACTTTATGTATCAAAGTGGGGGGGTAAGATTAACGTGAGGTATATGGGCTCCAGTAAACATTTAAAGTGAAGGCCGTAAGCTCGACTGCCAATCGAGGTTAATACAAAAGAGTTAGTTTGAAAGCTTGGATTTAATAACGACACGGCGTTCCTACTCAGGTACTAAATATTTTATTTACGATACTTTCCCAACATCGATCGTTACGTACGGTCGTTTCAGTTAGGTTTAATCCTCCTACCCTTTTCCCTTAGTATTATCCCANGTAAACATTTAAAGTGAAGGCCGTAAGCTCGACTGCCAATCGAGGTTAATACAAAAGAGTTAGTTTGAAAGCTTGGATTTAATAACGACACGGCGTTCCTACTCAGGTACTAAATATTTTATTTACGATACTTTCCCAACATCGATCGTTACGTACGGTCGTTTCAGTTAGGTTTAATCCTCCTACCCTTTTCCCTTAGTATTATCCCAGCGGAATCATTTTGAGAGTCCGATATAAATCTAACCAATCCTAACGACAATCCTGACAAAATGTTGGCCAAAATGTTTCATTGTGTATCTGATGATACAATGAAATCCCGTTGTTTTCTATTACGAGACTTTATTTTATATTTGTACAATAATTTGTTTAGAGTAGAGATGTTTAGTTTGTATTTTTAATGAATTAAATGAAGTAATTAAGTAAAGAGCATGAAGCTTGTATAAATTGAATTAAGTAGGTAGAAAAAAGGCGGGAATTGTTCCTCGTAAAAGTGTTAAGAGACAGATTATATTTTAATTACAGAGTAGTTAGTTTAATATAGATTATAGACGACACGCCGATACGGCAAAGGCGTTAACACATTGTATATATTTTATGTGTAGGAAGAAAATAATTTTTCATTTATTCAATAAAATAATACGGAAATTCACGGTACGTAAACAATTACAAAATTTTGTACAGATTTGTAGTGAATTACGACATGTTTATTTTTCCACGTAAAGCTTGATTGACCGCAGCAAACTGGGCCAGTGGCTAACAATCAACACGTGTGGGCAACATCGTATTGATGGTTTTGTGATAGTAACCGTTCACAAATACACAAATGAGATTTTATTTGTTATTACCTTGCCAGGTTTTCCTTTGTCAAATGAAAAACGCTTGCATTCTTACATAAATACGCACCTAAATAACCGTCCCAAGCATCTGTATAAGAGTATGAAGAATTCACAATCGATATCCAGATCTCAAAAATAAAATTTGTTGAATAAAGATTTTGACTGGGAAATGAAATAGAATTCTAATCGTAGATGATACAGTAGTCATGGTCAAACTAATGTTCTTTTTGGCTTATGAGCCAGAAGGCTTTGCCTTGGTTGGTGTGATATCTCATGGGGAAGAACCTGAGAACTTGCTAACATCTTCCCTAGTAAGCGCAGTGTAGATACTATCGCTATCCACTAAACCAATGATATGATCAAAGTGATCAAATAGAGTTCTGGTTATATTTTATTGTTGACATTAATTGCAGGATTTAAAGATGATAATTTTATGATTTTCTGTCTAAAAGATTTTCTCTGAAACTGCTACAAAAAAAATGTTTTCACTGGTTCATATTTACATTTAATCTTTGGCATAGGCGTTCTTTTAATTTATTTTTATTAATAAAAGCGGACTACAGAGCGTTGCGACTATATAACAAAATGAGTCTCTAAAATCACTATAATATATTGTTGAAATAACTTCCTGATAAATCAATTTTTACAAAATATACATTTTTTGAGAAAATCACTAGTTGAATATTGTGAACATTTAAATTTCAGCAGACGAATAAGGTATTCATTTCTTTCGTTCAAATTATCTAGTCCAAGGGTAATTTACGATAAGAGATGAACAATATTTCTTAAGATGGATAAATATTTCATAACGCTTAACGTTCTCTGACAGAAAAATATTTTAATTTCTAATCATTTATTTATTTACTGTAATGAATTTGCAGTTTTAGCTCTTATTTTATTTTGATATTTACAAGCCAAACGACACTATGTACCTACAAAAATTGGAACAAGTATTGAGGCGCGGCTATCCTCAGAAACGCTGATAGGATGCGATAAGATTAATTTGGAATTATAATCGAAGCATATATGTATGTATATGTACTTGTGTTGAATTTTTATATTTTTGATTCTTTGGTTTACTCTTGTGCAACGGATGTATATCAGAAATAGGGCACTTACGTTAAATATAAAGGCTGAAAGTTTTTTGAACTTAAAGTTGTATAGAACGGTAGGTTAGATAATTGATTATTAAATAATTAGATAATTGAAAGTAAGGCCGCTGTCTACCGCATAGAAAATATTATTATGGAACAATAATTGTAATATGGATTGGTTTAATATGTGAAATGTCTTCAGTTAAATCTTCAATTAATTGTTAATGCTGTGTTTTGTGTATTAAGACGCAGTAAACATGATTCGAACGATTCAATGAGTTATGGTAAAATGAAATAAACAAGCAATGCACATAAAGGCAACGTCACTTATTAAAATTAAATTTTCTTATTGAAGCGAATTTAATTGTCATGGGATCTGTCCGTTTAGAACCGTGATAGTTTGAGTTGTTTTTCTTCATATTCTTTGATTATAATATTACATGTAGCATTGCGACCAACTTATAAATAATAATTATCGGCAAGATCGAATGTACAAAAGAAACGGATACTAAATTCCGCAATCTGGTATCTGACCAGATTCTGAAAATGTCAGATAGCTACGAATTCTATATTCTGCTATATTCCTACGTGTAATATTGTAATGCATCTAACATATGCTTCTAATTTTGTAATTTTCAATTGAGTTCGCCGGCTTGACAATAAAATGATTTTTATTTTTAAGTGTTGAAAGTTGATTCCAACCAATATGAAATTCATCGAGAGGCATCGAAAATATTAATATACTAGCGACCCGCCCTCGCTTCGCTTCGGAAACATTAAAACACACATGAAACCAAAAAAATAAAATAAAATAAATTTAAAAAAAATAGCCTATGTTCATCAGGGACAATGTCGGCTTCTAATGGAAAAAGAATTTTTCAAATCGGTCCAGTAGTTTCGGAGCCTATTCGAAACAAACAAACAAACAAACAAATCTTTCCTCTTTATAATATTATACTAGCGACCCGCCCTCGCTTCGCTTCGGAAACATTAACAAATGAAACCAAAAAAAATAAATAAATTTTTTTTAAAAAAAAGTAGCCTATGTTCATCAGGGACAATGTTGGCTTCTAATGGAAAAAGAATTTTTCAAATCGGTCCAGTAGTTTCGGAGCCTATTCGAAACAAACAAACAAACAAATCTTTCCTCTTTATAATATTATTATTAGTATTAGTATCAGTATAGATACTAAAATTATATACCAATCCAGAATATAAGAATTTAGTGTCTGTTAAAAGGCTTTTCTAGTACATGCATCTTTAATGAAAACACAAGTATGCACCATATGGTGTTTCAGTATTAGAGTAACCAGGAAAACGGTAAGTTAAATTTACTCCAACCAAAGTATTCTAATTTAAAACAACTTCAAATTTCTGAGGGAAACAGTCGTTTGACAAAGTTTAATCAAATTTAATACGTAAGCATGCGAAGGGGCGCACAGATGTTCGATTATAAACGATTTAATACAAAAAGTTAGCAGAAAATGTGAACGAATTACCCTTATAAATTCACTACGGTACATATTTATGGTGGTTTAAAACTTTTACATTTAAATACTACATGGGAGTACATTGGGCACACATCAATAACGTAAGAACGGTTTCCGTTACGTGACTCACAACTATGGCACGTTTAGTTGGATACCGAAGCCAGCTAAAGAGAACGCGGATCCCATTCCAATCAGAATCAGGTAACATGTATTGGTTATTTTAAAATATATTTATTTCTCAAATATATGATATCGCCTAAAACAAGACAAAAAATACAAATTGTAACAATTATAAATAAAATTGAAATAATAATAAATAAATATCTTATTCTTATACCTTTAAACGAACAAATTCAAACATATAATCTGAATCTCGGAAACGGCTCCAACGATTTTCATAACATTGGTATACAGGGGATTTCGGGGGCGATAAATCGATCTAGCTACGATACATTTTCAGAAAATGTTGTTTTATTCGTGTTTTCAATAATCAACTCTTCCCGACATCTATTGGCGAATAATAATACTATTTTTCTTAATTGAGGGCAACTAACCGCTTTAAAGACACAACAAGATGGCGTTATCAAAAAAAAAACCCGAGTAAAGCTCGGTCATAATCTAGTAATCGTATTATTAGACTGAAGTTTTAGTATATGTAATGTTATAAGTTGTAGGTAATTTAAGCTGACCACACGCGTATACCACCGTTCAACACATGTATAAATAACATGTATTCATACACAGGACATCGAACTGGGAAACCGCTTGGTTAACTTACAAGAACGCAAACAAGAAGACTATTAAGTGCTTTCATTTTAGGGGCTCGCATTAAACTGTTCCCGTTTCGAATTATTAGCAACCTCGTTCAATAACGTAAAAACGAGAACAAATATTAAAAGTTTCAGTATTTAGTTCCCGGTTTTGAGCGTATAATTGAATGCAAACCATGAAACTAGAACAAACAAATACAGTGCATGTTTTATTCAGGTCAAAGCAGTTACCGAGTGATCT